GATCATCACCGAAAATTATAGTCGTTGTCCTTGACCACTACTGGAACATCATCGAACATTTCAAAGCGATCAGCTCTATATTTCCGCCCTCCAGTGTGGTAATGGGTTACTAAATAATATCTCAGTACTAAATATTTAAGTGTAACTCCCACATATGAGTACATACAACCATATAATTGGTATCAATTTAAAGGTCAACCACTCCTCTTGGATATGCTATCAACTTCTCGGGTCTTTGTTCTTCATGGGTAGATATATACGCTATAGAATACAAATTTTGTTATTTTTCACTCAAAAGTCAGGGTCCAATTGACCCGCTAAATATTGACCGATCTTTATCAAAATAGGCATGCTTATTCTTTGGCCCAATCCCCTTCTCCACGTAAAGAATTCGAGATGTTTCATCCCCTAAATATTAAACAATCTTTTCCCAAAAACAATAGGGGTCTTCCTTGGCCAGAACCCATCCTACATGCAAAATTTCGTGAAGATTGGTCGGTCCCTTCGTCTGTTGATGCTAAATTGTAAACAAAGCACAGATCGCATTTATCATCCGATTTGGATGAAATTTCGCACAGCTCATTTATTTGGTCCAAGGACGAACCGCATTGAAATTTGGAAAAAATCGGTTGAGATTTAGATATAGCTCCCATATATATGTTCATCCGATTTAAGGTAATTGGTGCACCAAAGACCCTATATATCTTTCGATTTGGACGAAATTTGGCATAGCGTACTCAATTAAGTCTATAATGATGTGTGTAAAGTTTCGTGAAAATCTGTTCAGATGTAGATATAGCCAGAGCTCCGAAATGCTCGCTCGAATTCGAGTAAAGAGTGAAACTCGCTCGAATTCGAGCGGGAGTACTCCTGCGAGTAGAAAAAGTAAATAGAGTTTACTCTATTTTTCTTTGCCACTCAAATAAGAGCGGAGGTGCTTTGCTCGTTTTCGAGTGGGAGTGAAATACGCTCGAAATCGAGCAGATTACACTCTTGCCGAGTACTCTTTTATTATATATTTTTTTTGTGATACCGTTGTTTTACTTGATGTTGTTTGTGTGCATTGTTTGTTTGTTTTGTGATGTTTGGTTTGCAGTACTGCTGGGAAAGCATGCATCAACAAGCTCGTTTTCTGCGTTCTCTTTATGTAAGTCATTTCATATAAGATTTTTATTCGTACATCACATGTGTAAACATTTTCAATAAACAAAATAATCAATGTCCTTTTATGTTTTTTGTAATGATCTATCTCCCCACACCACACAAAAGATCAACATCAAAAAAAAATTTTGGTACTACACACACACACAAATAACCAAACAACCAAATTTATTTGTCCACTCGATTTCACTCTTAGAGTGAACTCTTACTCTATTTCGAACGTTTTCACTCACACTCTTTTTCTTCAACAAGGAGTACTCGCGTGCACTCCCAAACAAAATAAAAGAGTGGAGAGTATACTCCCTAAAAAACTCGTACTCTTTACTTACTCCCGCTCGGGAGTATTTTTCACTCGCGAGTAAAATCGAGCAAATCGGAGCTCTGGATATAGCTCCCATATATATTTTCATCCGATTTAAGATAAATAGGGCACCAAAGTCCCTAAATATCTTCCGATATGCACGAAATATGGCATAGCGTACTTAATTAAGTCTAGAATGATGTGTGAAAACTTTCGTGAAAATCTGTTCAGATTTAGATATAGCTCCCATATATATTTTCATCCGATTTAATGTAAATAGTGAACCAAAGTCCCTATATATCTTTCGATTTGCACAAAATTTGGCATAACGTACTGAATTGTTTCTGTAATGATATGTGCTAAGTTTCATTAAAATCGGTTCAGATTTAGATATAGGTCTCATATATATATATATATATATTCGTCCGATTTAATAGAAATGGTGTACCAAAGTTCTTATATATCTATCGTTCAATTTCTTATCGTATCAAAAAAATATTCTTTAAAAATCCACGCCTTGTTACGGCTATCCAAAAATTATTCTTTAAAATCTACGCCTTGTTACGGCTATCCAAAAATTATTCTTTAAAATCTACGCCTTGTTACGGCTATCCAAAAATTATTCTTTAAAATCTACGCCTTGTTACGGCTGTCAAAAAATTATTCTTTAAAATCTACGCCTTGTTCTCAGGATCTCAACAAATTATTCTTTAAAATCTACGCCTTGTTCTCAGGATCTCAAAAAATTATTCTTTAAAATCTACGCCTTGTTCTCAGGATCTCAAAAAATTATTCTTTTAAAATCTACGCCTTGTTCTCAGGATCTCAAAAAATTATTCTTTAAAAATCTACGCCTTGTTCTCAGGATCTCAACAAATTATTCTTTAAAATCTACGCCTTGTTCTCAGGATCTCAAAAAATTATTCTTTAAAATCTACGCCTTGTTCTCAGGATCTCAAAAAAATATTCTTTTAAAATCTACGCCTTGTTCTCAGGATCTCAAAAAATTATTCTTTAAAAATCTACGCCTTGTTCTCAGGATCACAAAAAAATTATTCTTTAAAAATCTACGCCTTGTTTTTGGAAAAAAATATTCTTTAAAAATCCACGCCTTGTTACGGCTGTCAAAAAAATATTCTTTAAAAATCCACGCCTTGTTACGGCTGTCAAAAAAAAATATTCTTTAAAAATCCACGCCTTGTTACGGCTGTCAAAAAAATATTCTTTAAAAATTTACGGCTTCTGGTGATCCTTAGGAAATATTCTTTAAAAATCTACGCCTTGTTAAGGATCTCAAAAAATGATTCTATAAGAATCTACGCCTCGTTAAGGATCTAAAAAAAATATTCTTTACAAACCTACGCCTTGTTAAGGATCTAAAAAAATTATTCTATAAAAATCTACGCCTCAAAAAATATTTATTTAAAATCTACGGCTTCTGGTGATCCACAAAAAAAAACATACTTTTAAAATCTACGGCTTCTGGTGATCCGCAAAAAAAAAAACATTTTTTTAAAATCTACGCCTTCTGGTGATCCTCAAAAAGACATTTTTTAAAAATCTAAGCCTTTAGGTGATCCTTAAAGATATATATTTTTTAAAATCTACACCTTCTGGTGATCTTAAAAAAAATATTCTTTAAACAGTAAGCGGAGCATTATAGTCGGGCGGGGCCGACCATACGATACCCTACTCCCAACTCCCACGGAACTCTAACTTTCTGTGGATGTGTTTTCCAAGCCTATATTTCGATATATTTGCTTTCCCTTACCCGATTAGTGGTCAACATCACCTCCTCCTTACACTGACATATTTTCCGAATATTACTAATATTCAGTATAGCGCTTCTTATTACTTTTCCAGATTTCCTTAGCCTTGGGTTGTATTGTGATGTTCGGCTTATAATTGTGACCTATAGATCAAAAACACAAAAATGTAAGTTTTTGGTCAATTTCATCCCAAACCTACTATCTGAACATCACCGAAAATGATATTCGTTCTCCATGGCATAACTGGAATTTCATGGAAAATTTCAAAGCGATCAGGGCTATATTTCCGCCCTCTAGTATGGTAATGGACTACTAAATAATATCTGAATACATAAGTACCTGTAAATATGTAAATGTAACTCCCACATCCGAGTACATACGACAATATAATTGGTATCAGTTTAAAGGTCAACCAGTTCTCTTGGATATACTGTATGTCCTTCAGGAGTAAATATATACGCTATAGAATACAAACTTTGTCATTTTCACACACAAGTGAGGTTCCATTTGACCCGCTTAATATTGACAGATCTTTATCAAAACAGATATGCTTATTCATTGGCCCGATTCCCATCTCTATGTAAAATTCGCGATGGTTGAGCCATAATTGCGACCAATGGAGCGACCAGAAAATCAGACAAAAATAAAGTTTTTGGTCCATTTCATCCCCTAAATATTAACCGAACTTTACCAAAAACAATAGGGGTCTTCATTGGCCAGAACACATGCTCCATGCAAAATTTCTTGAAGATTGGTCCATAACTGTGGCCTGTATCGTGTTTAGAAATTATAATGAACAGACGGACGGACGGACACACATGTCTAGATCGACTCAGCTAGTCGAGATATGACGATCGATATACTTAACGGTGGGTCTAGGACCAATACTTTGAGGTGTTACAAACTCTTGGGGCTGCACAAGGCTATAATACCCTGACAATATGGTTGTGTTGCGTATAAAAATCTACCCCTGCTGGTGATCCTTAACAAATATTCTTTAAAAATCGACATCTTCTGGCGATACTTAAGAAAATTTTTTATATTAAAAATATAATAAATTTTTAATTTCGAAATTATTTTATTACTTTATAAGGACTTACATTTTTAAAAATATATATCATTTATTAATATATTATATAATTATTATTATATTATTTATTAATATTTACTGTATTTTTTTATATATTAAATTGAATTATTATTAAATTATTAAAAATATAATTTATGTATTCTATTATTTATTTTAAGAAAAAATATTTATTATTATAATTTATTAGTTATAAATATATATTCGAAAAACTTTTTTTATTTGATATAAAAATAATAAAACTTGGTTATAATTTAGAAATAAAAAATTATCAGTATATGGAATATATATGTGAATTTAAATGTATCTATATAATAATTATATTATTCGCATGACTACATACGCTAATAAGTGTGTAAAAATTACTTTTGAATGGTAAAATGGGACAATTGTAATAAATAATAAAAACAATTTTACTATAAAAACGATAAAAAAAAACAATTAATCGACGTTTGTTAAATAAAACTCAAAAAACTAAAAATATATAAAATACCAAAATGTGGCAAACTAAAATAAAAAAAAAATTAACAAAAAATATTTTATATATATAAAACGCGCCATAAACAATAACAAACAATATCGCGTTAAATTAAAAAACAAAATCTACAATATTAAAATATAAATTATAATAATTAAAAAATATATCGCTTGATTTAACACTTCCTGTCCACCATTGTTCCAGATGCAAATTTTTCGGATTTTCCATATATACAATATCTGACACGTAAGTTTTGTAAGGGGTTTATACATGTCCTCCCAAAAAGGAGGGCATATAAAGTGTATATGGAAAAAATATGAGTACTAGATTTAATATCGTATTTTGCTGGTAACATTTTGATTGATATTTTATATAAATAACATTTTTTTTTATAAAAATCGAAAAAAAAAATGGTTTAAATAAAATTGTATATAATTAATAGTATTCTTCGTTATAAAAAAATATTTATTTTTTTTATATGAGAAAAAAAATGTGTATGAGTGTTTTTCTCATATGTAGGGATGTTGGAACTGAACCTTCATATGGGGGATATATTCAAAGTTCCGTTCCTATTTATAAAACAACACCCACAAAGTCTTCTAAGTGTAGAGTACTTCCAAGAGATCTGTTATATCCCCCTTGAAGACCTCTTATGAAGTCTTCGATCTAAAAATAATATAAAAAAATAACTATCCTGATTTTTCGGTTTATTTCCTGTCCATTTAAAATGTCAATTTCTGAAAGTTTTAACAAGGATACCATTCCGATTCCTAGAATTTGACAAACAGGTTATATATTTGATTGCCTTTTAGGATAGCCTTTTAAAGGATCGTTCGTTTTGTATGCCATAAAATGATCTCTTGAAGCATTATCTATCTGGAGGAAAATCTCTTGACAGATCCTCTGTTCAGGAAGTCCAAAATTTATAGGGTTTTTATATCTTTAAAGAACACATTTAAAATCTTCTGAAAGTATAAAACTTTCAGGAGGTATTTAATGACCTCTTTAGGAACCTTCTATGATAAAAAAAAAACACTTCAAAAAAGTAATTCTACACATTAAAGACCTCGGGAACAGGTCTGTAATGCACCCGAAGAGGGTGCGAATGCTGTGGTGTGGCTACAGATGATCTGGAGGATTTTTAAGTTATTGTGAGCTTATATTTTCGAGATCGAATTTTTTATAATATTTTCTTTAAAGATCTCTTAGCTTCAGAAGATCTCTTTAAAATGATTTTCTTTATTGAAGTCCTCTTAAAAGGATTCCAAATTCCTTCTATTGAGATTCTCTTGTAAAATATCCCATACATAGAAGTTTTTTCGAGGTGATATTTCAACAATACTCATTGATGACCTCTGGAACAGGGTCGGACTAAAAGCCGCTCTGATGCCTTTTTTTACATACAAATTACTCTCAAAGAGAGCACGAGTGCGGCTGAAGAATCTATTGAAAATTTTTGAAATTATTTCGAGCTTTATTTCTGAGATCGGATTTTTGTAAAATCCCCTTAAAAGACCCCCTATGCACAGAGGATCTCTTCAAAATTATTTCATTTATAGAACGATTCCATGAAAGGGCTCCAAATTCATTATAGAGATTTTTTCTTGGAAAATATATTTCAGAGATCATATATTACCTCCTTAAAAGTCCTCAATACGCGGAATACCTCTTCAGGTTTATTTTATTTATAGAAATCTTCTTGAAATGACTCAGAATACCACGGTTTGTTTTTTTCCTTCTAGGACTTCCCTTTCGAAAAACCTTCTTCCATTACATTTTTTATAATTTTTTTTTTTTTCTATCCACAGAAGGCCTCTTGAAAGTTATTTTATTTATACGCTTGAAAGTATTGTTAGATATTCCATATATAGAAGATATCTCATCAAAAGCTTGTCTTACTTAAAAAAAATTCTGTAGGAGGTTTCTGCCCACAGAAGACCATTTTTTGTTTAAATACTCATAATTCCGACCTCATTTTATATCCCCAATAATTTTATATCTATTCCACCATTTTTATTAACAACTTAAATTTATTCCCTCTCCCATATATAACCTACTTATTATGATTCCTAAAATTATGCTATACGCTACGTGCCATTCTTGCTAGCAAACATCTTAATATGGATGAACTTCTAGGGAATCCTAGTTTGTTTGATTTGCACAATAATTTTTTCAAAATTATTTCATTAAAAAGTCCCCTTGAACGTTCTTCTAACTCATTCCCTCTTTTCTTTGAGCATCATCCAAATACAGAACAATTCTCGAATGCTTTCCAAACCTAAAAAAAAAATATTAGAAAGTTCATGTCCATAAAATACTCCATATTGTTTAAATACTCATAATTTAATCTCAATTCCGATTTCATTTTATATCCCCAATAATTTTGAAATCTACTTCACCACCCAACTTAAATTTATTCCCTCTCCCATATATAACCTACTTATTATGATCCCTAAAATTATGCTATACACTACGTGACATTCTTGCTAGCAAACATCTTAATAAGGATGAATCCTAGCTATTGATTTGCAGAACAAAAGCAGGAAAAAACTTGACGTTGTATTAAATTTTAAGATAAAATACCCGGCTGAATGTGTATTTGCATAAATGTCTAGGCGGAATCCACAAATAAAACAAAAAAATTGAGCAAATAAACAAGTGAAGAAGAACATGCACACACAATCACACATACATACATACATAGAGACCTGGCAAAAGTAATAAATTCCATGTAAAACAAATACGAATAATAATAATAAGAAGAAGAAACAAATCAGGAGGCCGGCAAGAAGGTGAAATCAATACTAAGCGGGTGGGTAGGTGACACCAAACCAGAGGGTGATGCAAGGAAACCCTAGGAACCACATCCTTCCTTGCAATGCTGTTTTTTTTTTTTTTTTTTTTTTTTTTTTTTTTTGAGCGGTCATATCCACCGTAAACAATGCTCCTCAGAATCATGGAGCAGAAAAATATGGTTAAAATGGAGGCCATACAAAATTGTAATTTTCAGAATTTGTCACGAATCAACAATTTATTTGTATGACCTCTTTTGTGCGACATGGACCATAACGACAACCTTAACACCAGGACAACACACATCTCCACCATATAGCACCTTCATACATGCATGCAGATACCCATGGAATCCTGGGCATTTACATGAAGAGAAGAGGAGGTCGGAAATGGAAACCAGAACCAGATTGATTTTCCCAGTAATGCTATAAAATATTTCCATGCAATCTTATTGCCTTGGTTGGACCTTTCCGAAAACAGCAAATGGTTGTCGGGTGCACAGGGTGGTTGGATGGTTGGTTGGTTGTTTGAGCCCCTGACCACCACAACAATACGAACGGGGCTAAAAGATGTCGTCTGGATGTTTGGACCCAAAACTGAGGCTGCCCCGGCAAACAGATCTCACGCACAACAGGATGGTTTACAAACCAAAAAAAAGAAAAAAAGAAAAAAGGAAGTACAGAAGAAACAGAACAAAAATAATCATATCGACAAAGAGAAAATATTTACACAATAAATGTGGTATAGCTGGCAGTGCGGAACATGCAGAATAAGATTATTGTAAATGGATGGGGATGTACGTGTGTGTGTGTGTGCTTCTTTCTCACATTGTCCTGCCTTGTCGGACTTTTGAGGTTACCTGTATGCGTTAACAATATTTTATTGTCCATGTTGGCGGGACCATGGCAACAGTTTCAGATTAAAAACCAAACGTTCTCCAACGCCGCTTCCCACAGCCTGTTTTTTTCTCAAAAAAGTATTTTCCCTTTTCCATTTTGTTTATTGGTTTACAAGTAGAAAAGGATTTTCTCTGCTTTGTTTGTTTCTTAATAAATAATAAAAAAAATGTGGAAGAAGAATAAAAATTGAAAAAAATATTCGATCACCCTTTGTCCGTGTATACTTTTCTTTTGCATAATAATTGAATTTGTTTTTCGTTTTTTTTTTCTCATTCACAGATCCACCGGAAATCACCAAGAAACCCCAAAATCTGGGCGTACGAGTGGGAGGAGTTGCAACATTCTATTGTGCGGCCCGGGGTGATCCGCCGCCTACGATAGTTTGGAGGAAAAATGGGAAGAAAGTATCAGGTAAGGAAAAAGAAAAACAAAATAAAACCAGTAAGGAAAATAGTAAAGTCGGACCGAAATATATATGGGCAATATTGCCAATTTTTTAACATAGCTGAAGCGGAGGTTCACCCCTTTATAACTCGGGAACTACTTAAGTATATGAAAAAAAGTGAATAGTTTTGGGTTAATTGATCTGTCGGTGCAAACTGTTCATGATATTGACCTCCAAACTTTATTTTGGTGGAAGCTGTGTCTACTTTAATGTAAAAAAATGTGTAAAAACAGGTTGAGGCGAACCAGTTTTTTTATGTTCACCATTTGTGACATTACTCATTGCACGGTCTTCGTGTCAAAAGAAAACTAGAAGCCAACAAAATGAAGACTGCGCCCCTTATGTATCATTTTTCAAAATTTTAACTGCATTTACCTTCAAATGATGCTGACATTTTGAAGCTCGATTTTGAGTGTTTTTTTAATTTTACTTCTAGCTTTAATACGCAAACAGGAAGTTATAAAAATCGATTATAAGATTATTGTAGTCGCGAATCTGCGTAATTTGATATGTATTTTGTGTATGTAGTATGCACAGCTTTAAATATATATCCGAAGGTGCGATTTTGTGCGATCAAATTACAAAAAAACCTATTTTTCGGGCCAAATTTTTAGATCTGTCAACTGAATGATATGGGTACCCGCGATCATAAAGGTTTTTTACGTTTCGGATGATATAAAATCTTCTTCGTGAAAATCCATCTAATTTCCAAAAACACGAAATTTGGCAAAAAATGTTTTTGAAAATATCGCGGATTTATTTGCGTTTTCTGTGGATCGTTTCCACTTCAATAAATGACACCATGCGGATTTTGATCTTTCTCGAAAAGAGAACTTTAAAAACTTCAGCCGAAAGAGAGATGTACGCAATTTATCTCAAAAATAGATTTTGCTGGCACATCCATGGTTCTTAATGGACCACATTGAAATCGGTATAGATCGATGTATTTTTTTAGGGTGCACACCGAAAACGGATGCGCGTTAATGGCATATGGTGTTTTCGGAAATTATTCGCATTTTAAGATTTTTTGGGTACTTCGATGTAACGTGCGGCACATCTTAGCCGTCAAATGAAATTTCGCAAAATATGTATGGATTGGAAGATAGACTTCAGTACTTCCTGGAAACCGCATGCGCATCAAATGATTTTGAGAATTACGCGATTTAGACGCAATTTATCTCAAAAATAGTGTGAGCTGGCACATCCATGGTTCTTAATGGACCACATTGAAATCGGTATAGATCGATATATTTTTTTAGGGTGCACACCGAAATCGGATGCGCGTTAATGACATATGGAGTTTTCGGAAATTATTCGCGTTTTACGATTTTTTGGGTACTTCAATGTAACGTATGGCACATCTTAGCCGTCAAATAAAATTTCGCAAAATATATATGGATTGGAAGATAAACTTCAGTACTTCCTGGAAACCGCATGCGCATCAAATGATTTTGAGAATTACGCGATTTACACGCAATTTAAAATGTATATTTCATAATATTTTTTTATTTTAAGATTTATTCCTATTTATAGAATTCTAAGATTTATCGGAAGGGTCTTGATATAATCCGGAAGGCGTATACTTATACACAAAAAGTGATTATTTTTATATATGTCAATTTTTCGGCGAAATTCGGGTAAAATAGCTGAATAACCCCAACATTTTTTTCTGAAATTTCTTGTATACAATTAAAAAAATAAATATGATGACATTATTTTTTCGAATCAAAAACAAATATTTTTCCTCAATATCTTGTTTTGTTGTCGCTGTGATTTAGAAACCGCTACATGGACTTGTGTGATTTTGATATCATTTGATTCATCATGGTGTTTAGATTATGTAGATATTTTTAAATTAATTTTTAGGTGTGTCTATGTCATTAACATAATGAAAATATTGATGTAATCTGCTATATTTTTTTATTTTTCTTATATTTCGCGAATATGTGCAACTTTATTGTGATTGTTATAATATATTCATATTCTTATTTTACGGAGGAAGATATATATCAACGTTTTTGGTCAATATAATAAACGGCGTAATTTTAAGATTTTTTTCTTATGCCCAAAATTAAAACCTCGATAACTTTTGCGCGCATCAACCAAAAATTTGATCGCGAACGGTTTCGGAGTCAGAACATTTTTCTCTATATGTATACCAAAAATCATTGATGTGCCACAAAAACAAAAAAGCGGATTTTTTGAAAATGGAATATTAAAAAATTGGCAATATTGCCCATATATAGGAGCTATATCTAAATCTGAAACGATTTTCAGAAAACTTTGCACACATCTAGCTAGGCTTAATTCATTACGCTATGCCAAATTTCGTGCAAATCGAAAGATATATAAGGACTTTAGTACACATATACCTTAAATCGGTCGAAATTATATATGGGAGCTATATCTAAATCTGGACCGATTTTCAGGAAACTTAACACACATCATGCTAGGCTTAATTCAGTACGATGTGCCAAATTTCGTGCAAATCGAAAGATATATAGGGACTTTTGTACACCATTTACATTATATCGGACGAAAATATATATAGGAGCTATATCTGAATCAGGACCGATTTTCAGGAAACTTAACACACATCATTCTAGACCTGATTTAGTACGCTGTACCAAATTTCGTGCAAATCGAAAGATATATACGGACTTTAGTACACCATATACCTTAAATCGGAAGAAAATATATATGGGAGCTATATCTGAATCAGGACCGATTTTCAGGAAACTTAACTTAACGCACATCATTCTAGACCTGATTTAGTACGCTGTACCAAATTTCGTGCAAATCGAAAGATATATAGGGACTTTGGTACAACATTTACATTAAATCGGACGAAAATATATATATGGGAGCTATATCTGAATCTGGACAGATTAATTCAGTACGATGTACCAAATTTCGTGCACATCGAAAGATATATAGGGACTTTAGTACACCATATACCTTAAATCGGTCGAAATTATATATGGGAGCTATATCTTAATCTGAATCGATTTTTCCGAATTTCAATCGGGTTCGTCCTTGGCCCCAATAAGTGACCTATACAAAATTCATACAATTCGGATCATAAATGCGACCTGTACTTTGTTTACAATTTAACATGGAGACACAGACAGACGGACGGACGGACAGACATGCATATGCCGACTTAAAAAGAGATTCTATGCATATTCTCAAAAGGAACCATGTGTCTATCTCGTTTCCTTTTGCCTGTTACAAATATATGAACAAAGGCATAATTCCCTGTACCACAGTGTGGTGAAGGGTATAAAAACCAGTGAGCGGAGCAGTATAGTCGGACGGGGCCGATCATATGATACCCTACACAACTACCACGAAAAGCAAACTTTTCTTGAAGTGATTTTTGACGCCACCTAGCTTTAGGGTTTGGTTGATTTGACCCTCGGAATATTGACCGATCATCATCTAAACATCCGCACTAAGTATTTGATCAGATCCCCTTCACCTTGTAAAATATATGATGTTCTGCATATAATAATTGCCTCTAGAGCGACTAGAAAATCTGACAAAATTAAAGTTTTCCGGTCATTGCACCCCCTGAATGAAATCTCAACTTCACCGAAAACTATAGGCGTCGTTCTTGTCCATAATCGGAACTTCATGTACAATTTCAAAGTGATCAGCGCGACATTTCCGTCCCGGAGTAATAGTAATACTATGCACTTAGTCACCTTTACCTAATTACGTATAACTGCCACATCGGAGTACATACAGCCATATAATCGGTATCAATTTGAAGGTCAACAACTCCTCTTGGATACACTATCAACTTATCGGGTATATGTCCTTCAGGAGCAAGTATATACGCCATAGAATAAAATTTTTTTAATTTTTCACACAAAAGTCAGGATTCATTTGACCCGTTAAATATTGACCGATCTTGATCAAAACAGGCATGCTTATTCTTTGGACCGATCCCATTCTCCATGTAAAATTTCACAATGTTCGGACCATAACTGCGGCCTCTGGAGCGACCAGAATCCCCAAAATATTACTCGATCTTTACCAAACAAAATTTCATGAAGATTGGTTCATAACTGTGGCCTGTATCGTGTTTACAAATTACAATGGACAGACGGACGGACGGACACACACGTCCAGATCGATTCAGCTAGACGAGGTATGATGATCGGTATACTTAAAGGTGGATCTAGGACCAATATTTCGCGACGTTACAAAAATCCACGCCTTGTTATGGCCCTTTACAAAAATATTTTAAAACCAGTGAGCGGAGCAGTATAGTCGGACGGGACCGACCATACGATACCCTACACAACTACCACGGAAGTCTAACTTTCTGCGGATTTTTAATTCAGAACCTGGCCAATATTACGTGATAGTTGGAACCTCTTGCCCGAAATAGAGGTCAACAGCAACTCTCCCTTACACAGACATATTTTCCGAGTATTACTAATATTCAGTAAAGCCCTTCTAATTACTTATTCCCTTCACCGCGGGTTGTGTTGTGATGTTCGGTTTATAATTGTGACCTATAGATCGACTCGAAAAAAACATGAAAAATTTAATTGGCGTGCACTGCAAATTTTGTAATTTTTCACACAAAAAGTCAGGGTCCATTTGAACCGCTAAATATTGACCGATCTTTATCGAAACAGGCATGTTTATTCTTTGGCCCGATCTCCTTCTCGTTGTGAAAATTCGCGATGTTTGGGTCATAATTGCGGCCTCTGGAGCAATCAGAAAATCAGACAAAAATAAAGTTTTTGTCCATTTCCCCTAAATTGTCCCTAAATATTAACCGATCTTTACCAAAAAAAAAAAAAATAGGGGTCTTCATTGGCCAGAACCCATCCGACATGCAAAATTTCGTAAAGATCGGACCATAACTGTGGCCTGTGTCGTGTTTATAAATTATAAAGGACAGACGGACGGACGGACACACATGTCTAGAGCGACTCAGCTGGTCGAGATATGATGATCGGTATACTTAAAGCTGGGTCTAGGACCTCTTCGGGCTGCACAAAGCTATAATTCCCCGACAACATAGTTGTGTAGGGTATAAAAATCCACGCCTTTGTCTCACCCTTGAAAATGTTTTTCCTTTTATCTCCCTTTAATAATTTAATAAAAATCGAATATATCCGCCACATAAATTATTTCTGTTCTTTGATTCCACAGATTATCGAATATGCCGCACACTCGAACATTTATACATTAATTTCGTGCACATCCTTCCTTATGACATATTGTGTAAAAATTCTCATGCCCTGTATTTTGTTTTCTGTCTTCTTTACAGGCACCCAATCACGTTACACGGTATTGGAACAACCGGGAGGTGTTTCAATATTACGCATTGAGCCAGTACGTTCGGGACGTGATGATGCTCCATATGAGTGCGTAGCTGAGAATGGTGTTGGCGATGCTGTATCAGCAGATGCTACATTAACAGTATATGAAGGTAAGTACACTCACACACACACACATACATACATAGATAGATATTTAATCTCAGTGGAGTTTGTATTTGGAGGTTCGTGTCCTCCCATTGGCCTTTTGGGAAAGTGTTTATTTACGGCATTTTGATCTATGAAAGGACCAACTTTTTCCATTATTTAATTAAATTGCATCAAAATATTTACTAAGCTTGGAAGTTTTTTTTTGTGAAAATGAAAAAAAAAATTGAAAAAATTTTAAATACAAACACTCAACATAGATTTTGTGGCTTGTGGAACATCCGTTTGCCCACAAAAATTTAATCCTTGATAAACTACTGGAAAAATAGTAAAACATTTTTTTATTTTGCACTAGTTTTTTATTGGAAATTTTATGCTACAGCTGTTGTTGTTGTTGTTGTTGCTTTTGAGTTTAAAAGCAATTGCAACAACAACAAAGTCTGTGTACTTTTAACTTTTTATGTAAACATTTATTTTATGTTATATTGAGGCTGACAAAAGTACATATATTTGGGTGTGTGTGTGTGTGAGCACATTGAGTCCCGTCATGTGTGTGTGTTATATACTCATCTCTGTATGTGTGTTAAAATTTCAAATAAATCACAAAAAAAGTTTTTTTTTCAAATATTTTTTTATATTTCATTTTTGTGCGTGTGTGTGCTTATGTGTTTTTGTATTAGTATAAGTTTAAATGTTGTTGTGGTAACATTTGATTTTGCTTTATTGATCCCTTTAACTCTTGAAAAACTACAAAAAGAGAATAAGAGGAAGAGTGAAAGAGGGTACCCGGACAAACTTCTGTGGAACCAAAACATATTCTATTCTAACATAAAATCACTCATCCATATACCATCAAAATTCACATATAGCCCACACACACATACATAGATATGTGCTTGCATTTTGACAAAAATTCGTTTATAAAAAAAAAATAAAATTTTCAAAAGACACACTCACACACACCCTTACATATATGTCTATTGGTATACACTTTGCTGTCTGCAGGCAAACATTGCTGATTTTTTGGTTGAACCTTGTACCGGCTGTTTTGGTGAGGTTCCATTCACAAAAGCAGGACAAACTTTTGACCCAAAAGCCTAATCAACTAACAATGTTATTTAAGTTTTTGAAACACACACAAAAATCAATGTTTGTTTCAACAGTGTGTGGAGAGGGGTGGAGAGGGCAGAGGAGGATTTTTGTTTCTATTTAAAATAAAAATTCAATTGCAAGTTTGTGATCTATGCATTGTTGGCTTTTAGTTTAGTGGTTTCCGGTGAAAAGAGTTTTAATGAAAATTATTTTGAACCTCGATTCAGGACAAATTTCCTTGCCGAAAATCATCCCCGTGATGAATGCTTCATGAGGAATATTTTGGGAAGGGCAGGAGTCCTACTGAAGATTTATTGTTTTCAAAGACTTGCAGTAAGACCTATTTTGCAAGGAGGTGTTGGAGTACAAGGAGCCAAAATTTCTAATATCCTTCAAGGGGAAAAATATTCATAAGGACCTCCTAATCGTTTCACTCACACACACAAAAGCTTTAAACTTAGAATAGAAAATTCTGGACCTCTTTAAACTGAAAGCTAATATCTACAACCCTTATTTCTTATATACTTAAATTATTCTAGAAATACATATTTTGTGCGGGGGTTTTCGAATACAAAGAGATTAATTTTCCAATATCCTTCAATGGTAAAAATGTACGCCAAGACCTCCTAATTATTTCACTCACACACACAAAAGCTCTAAACTGAGAATAGAACACTCGACTACCCCTAATAATTGAAGGAGGATATCTAAAACCCGTATTTCTTAGTCTCAACGGCCTTATGAGAGGTATATTTTGTTAGTAGGTTTTCAAATACAAGGAGCCCAAATTTCGAATATCCTTCAAGAGGAAAAATATTCGTAAGGACCTCCTAATTATTTCACTCACACACACAAAAGCTCTAAACTGAGAATATAACAATCTGGAACACCTTTTAAATGAAGTAGGATATCTAGAACCCATTTTTCTTATTATCAAAGGCTTTTTTAAAGTCCTATTTTGTAAGAAGAATTTTGAATAAAAAGATCCTTAATTTGCAATATCCTTCAAGAGGAAACATATTCGTAAGGACCTCCTAATTATTTCACTCACACACACAAAAGCTCTAAACTGAGAGTAGAACAGTCTGGACCATCTTTTAAATAAAGGAGAATATCTAAAACCCTTTTTCTTATATCACAGGCTTTTTTAAAGTCCTATTTTGTAAGAAGGATTTTGAATAAAAGGATCCTTAATTTCCAATATCCTTCAAGGAGAAAAATATTCGTATGGACCTCCTAATTATTTCACTCACACACATTAAAGCTCTTACCTGAGAGTAGAACAATCTGGAACACCTTTTAAATGTAGTATGATATCTAGAACCCATTTTTTATATTATCAAAGGTTTTTTAAAGTCCTATTTTGTAAGTAGGATTTTGAATAAAAGGATCCTTAATTTCCGATATCCTTCAAGAGGAAACATATTCGTAAGGACCTCATAATTATTTCACTCACACACATTAAAGCTCCAAACTGAGAGTAGAATATTCTGGAACACGTTTTAGATAAAAGAGAATACCTAGACCACGCATTTCTTATTTTCAAAGGTGTTCAGAAAGGTCTATATTACATTAAGGTTTTCGTATGCAAAGAGGTTAAATTTCAAATATCCTTCAATGGAAAAAATGTTCGTATGGACCTCAAAATTATTTCACTCACACATACAAAAACTCTAAACTGAGAGTAAAAAACTCTGCAACCTCTTTTAACTGAAGGAGGATATCTAGAACTCGTATTTCTTAGCCTCAACGGCATTATGAGAGGTCTATTTTCTAAGGAGGTTTTCGACTACAAGGAGGCTACATTTCTAATATCCTTCAATGGTAAAAATGTTCGTCAAGACCTCCAAATTATTTCACTCACACATATAAAAGCTCTAAACTGCGACTAAAAAACTCTGCAACCTCTTTTAATTGAAGTAGGATATCTAGAACCTGTATTTCTTAGACTTAAAGGCATTATGAGAGGTCTATCTTGTTAGGAGGTTTTCGACTACAAGGAGCCAACATTTTTAATATCCTTAAATGGAAAAAGTGGTCGCAATGACCTTCTAATTATTTCACTCACACACACAAAAGCTCTAAACTGAGAGTAAAAACCCCTGCAACCCATTTTTAATTGAAGGAGGATATCTAGAACCTGTATTTCTTAGTCTTAAAGGCATTATGAGAGGTCTATCTTGTTAGGAGGTTTTCGACTACAAGGAGGCTACATTTCTAATATCCCACAATGGAAAAAATGTTCGTCAATACCTCCTAATTATTTCACTCACTCATATAAAAGCTCTAAACTGAGAGTAAAAAACTCTGCAACCTCTTTTAACTGAAGGAGGATATCTAGAACTCGCATTTCTTAGCCTCAACGGCATTATGAGAGGTCTATTTTCTAAGGAGGTTTTCGACTACAAGGAGGCTACATTTCTAATATCCTTCAATGGTAAAAATGATCGTCAGGACCTCGTAATTATTTCACTCACACATATAAAAGCTCTAAACTGAGTGTAAAAAACTCTGAAACCCCTTTTAATTGATGGAGTATATCTAGAACATGTATTTCTTAGTCTTAAAAGCATTATGAGAGGTATATTTTCTAAGGAGGTTTTCGACTACAAGGAGGCTACATTTCTAATATCCTTCAATGGGAAAAATTTTCGTAAGGACCTTCTAATTATTTCACTCACACACATTAAAGCGCTAAACAGTGAGTGGAACACTCTGGAAGCCTTTTAAATAAAGGAGAATACCTGGAACCCGTATTTCTTATTTTTACACGCGTTTAGAAAGGCCTGTTTTGCATGGAGGTTTTCGAATACAAAGAGGTGATATTTCACATATCTGTCAATGGAAAAAATGTTCGCCAAGACATCCTAATTATTTCACTCACACATATACAAGCTCTAAGTAAAGTATGTTGCCACATCTATGGGATATAGAAAATATGTCCTAAAATAATATTTCGGTTTAATGGCGTCTGACAAAGATTTACTTTGGAGGGAGGTTTTCTAATAGAAGAATCTTTAATCCCGAATAACTTTTAATGGGCAAAATAATCGTCAATACTTCCGCTTTATTTTGCCCACACATGCAAAAGCTCTAAAGCGTGGATTTTTTAAAAATATTTTTTCAAGGGTCTATACAAGGCGTGGATTTTTTAAAAATATTTTTTTAAGAGTCTATACAAGGCGTAGATTTTTTAAAAATATTTTTTCAATGGTCTATACAAGGCGTGGATTTTTTAAAAATATTTTTTCAATGGTCTATACAAGGCGTGGATTTTTTAAAAATATTTTTTCAAGGGTCTATACAAGGCGTGGATTTTTTAAAAATATTTTTTCAAGGGTCTATACAAGGCGTGGATTTTTTAAAAATATTTTTTCAAGGGTCTATACAAAATTTGTCCATTCTAGAATTTTGTTATTCCTCTCTTTAGGATTTTTTCTAAATTCCTCTAGTTCAACATCAGCTGTTGCTTTTCCCATTTATACAGAAAAAAATCGTCTCCTCGTCTAATCTATAATGCCATGAATCTAAGGTACTTCACTTTGAAAAAAAAAAATATGGAAAAAAAGTATGGTGTTGCCTGAGAGGTCCATGATGACCTCCTCCTGCAGCTTAAATTACAGAACGAATTCCATCTAAACTTCTAATAAAAAAACTGAAAACTTACGAACTCATGCCACCTACCTTCCTGGCGAGTGAAGAGACCTTGGTAGGCATGTGGACAATAAATGAATGAATGTGCATGTGAATCCATGAATTGGCTGTGTACTCTGGCCATTGTTGTTCTGCTGCTCCTCATCCCCTTGGTCCTCATAGTCTAGAGTGTATTAATAACATAAATTGTAGTGTAACGCAAATTAAAAGGCATCTGGCATATGGGATTTTTCCATTCCGTTTCGATTCATTCCATTTC